CTGCTTGGTTAGCTTTCAAGAAATTAGCTTTTTTTTATTTAAAAAAAAAAAAAAGCATACAGTTTCAAAGCAAAATACTAAAAAAAAAAAAAAAGTGGTTCTGGAAAGCTTGAGGACAAATGTGGCCCCTCACCATGTAAAGCTATAAGTGCTTAAGACTGTCCACTAGATATGAAATGACCTTCAGTATGCAAGGTCAGACCATGGTTTATCTGAATGAAAGCTTCATGATTTTTCCCATTTCACTTTATGCATTGGTTGTTGTTTTCAGACCATTTTCAAGCACGTTAGTGTCCATGTTGTACAGCTATTATGGCTTTACATCCTTTGCGGGTGCTTAGAGCAGAAAAGCTAAGAACACATTAAAGCAGAAAATAAACTTGCACCATCTACTTTAGTGGGAGGCACTTGGCAGGGCAAAYCTCAGAATGCCTCATTTGCCATAGGACTGTTGCTGTTTTGTGGCTTCCTGATGGGATTTCTGTGCTGCAGTTTCCCTATTCTCACCTTTCAGAAATGTGCATTGATGAGAGCACATTTGTTTGTAAACAAACACTGGGAGCTTTAATTTCCAGTTGTCATCTGAGGAAGGCTGATGATCTGAGGAAGGCTGAAGGAATGACAGAACTAATTTCAAAAGTCATCAAAAAGAGTAAAAGGGTGTTGGGAAAATGAGATACAGGGCTCTGTTTATGTTTAGTTATTGTCAACTTAGTTTCTGAATAAACTTGTTGCTTTTTCAGAGTTTCCTGTGATCTATCTCAGAGAGGTTAAAGATCAGTGCTTCCCTCAGGTCGTAAGAGACAATAGTTTGGAAAACTACTTATGGAATAATTGCAAGTATTAATCCCAGAACTGTGGGGTTAMCTTACCTCAGTTTTATCATAAAGAATGGAGAATCTAGATGGCTGTTAGTAATTAACAGGCAGATTTTTTTATCCCTTTATGTTTAGAAAAAAAAGWAAAAAAATCTAGATTAATGAAATAAATTCTATGTTTCTAATATCAGTTTTATGAGAAGGCAGATTATCCACAGAATCCAATGTTTAAGCAAGACAAGCTAGTTGTATGCACTCTATAGATAAAAACATCAGGAGGTTATACTGGAGGTGCATTTAGCCCACTAAGTAACAGTACTGCTCTCTCTGAGGAGACTGAACATGTAATGTGATGCTGCCATCCTCTTTTGAGGATGGTACAGTCATTCCAGATGTTATGAGAAAGAGGTGTGATGGCTGCACATGACATAAGCCATGCTAGGCATAGATGAAGAGGAAAAATGAGAGAGAGATGTATGGAATTGTTGTGGATTATGTTGCTAGCAGTAAACAGCCCATGTGAAGACTAAGCAGGAGGAGAAATACTGCTTTTATCAGAAATTTATATTATAACTTTTGCAGCATTTTTCAAGGCTTTAGCTAAAGATGTAAGTTTCAGGAGCTCTAGAGAATAAGTGAGATATCAGTGATCATCAGAGAGACTTGTTTCTTTTTCTGTCTGTATATCTGGTCAAATTTTTAAACAAAGTTCTACTACAAGAGATGATTTTCCAGCATAGTGCATTACTYTTTCTAAACGAGAATGAATGATACTAGCATTAAGAATGGTAGGGCGGTAAAGAAAGGGTGAGCTAATCTCCAACGCTCTGTCTCCTTGCTATTAATGTTGTTAATGTCATTAATGTTAGTATTTAAATCAAAACTTTTTTTAAAGCATTAAAAACTTTTTGCATAGGCAATGCCAGCACACGTTGTCTGGAACTTTGAATAGATCTCATTCTAAAAGTAAATGTAAGTATAATAGGTCCCAGTTTTAACCATCATTGTATTTTTCTCTCTCTTTTTTCACTTTTTTCTTTCTCAACCCCTGGAAGGGCCTGCTGGCTGGGGGGCAGCAAACCAGCTGGATTATTCCTATGGTGATTTCATTGATACGGTGCAGGAAGACCTGTCCAAGCCTCTCTCTGCCCCTGTAAAGGGATCACCTGCTCGGGTCAAAAGACACAAAAAGCTCAACATCCCGATGACTGACCACAAAATTAAGTTAATATTTAACATCACAGGTGAGAGAAATCAAACATCTCCCTTCTCCTATTCCTTCTTTTTAAAGAACGTGTTTCTAATACACTCAGTAAAGCTTTGTCTTCCCAAAGCCTGATAAAGATGCGGATGTCAGTTTTCTGGAGATGCTCTTGGCCTAGTTTTCTCAGACTTTGTGCCTGGGCAAAGATCACACCCTGTTTTTCATGGAGAGCACCGTGCACGTGGCCTGCTTTCTGCTTTGCACTGGCGAGCTGAGTGTTGCACTCCCAGGGTACCAGAAGTGCTGACTGTAAATTCTGTGTGCTTGTTGTGTGTTCTCTTTAAATCCCAGCTAGCGTGCCATTGCCCGATGAAAGGAATGATACAGTGGAACTGGAAAACCAGAAGAGGCTCCTCAAAACCCTAGAGACCATCACAAACAGACTGAATAGGACTCTCAATAAGGAACCCATGTATTCTTTTCAGTTTGCATCCGAACTCATTGTAGCTGACAGCAATTCGCTGGAGACGGAGAAGGCTTTTCTTTTCTGCAGGCCTGGCTCTGTGCTGAAGGGAAGAATGTGTGGTAAGCCAGATGACTTACTCCTTACATGTGTTTGAAACACTTTAAAAAGCAAGGTTTTAGATACTGTTTGCAGAGGGTAGGGGATTGGTATTATCCCCTTCTTGYGGTCTTGTGGTCTCCCATTAACTCTCTAATGCTTTGCAGAGATTGGCTTCCAGAGGATCTTTGTGTTCATAACCAACAGCTATGGAAAAGGACACTTGTATAGCCAGGGTTGCACTCCACTGGAGAAACCAAGCATACCCATACCCTTGATAATACTCAGGAAAGCAGTGCTTTATATGCAGCCTTAACTCTATTATTCTTGTCAATGATGTGTATTTAAGATAGAGTTGAATTTCATGTATTGTGTGCAGCAAAATTGTTAAAAGGTTCCAGACAGAACAACCCATTTTGCTGAGGAACAGAGGCACGTTCCACATAAATAGAGTTTGATTAAGTGGAAAGGCTTTCATTAGAGGAAGAGAATTATTGATGACTGTGTGATCTGAGGGGTGCTTATTTCTCCTATGTGACAGTGAACTGTCCATTGGGTACCTATTACTCCCTGGAGCATCGTGCCTGTGAAAGCTGCTGGACTGGATCCTACCAAGATGAGGAAGGGCAGCTGGAATGCAAAAGTTGTCCATCTGGCACCTATACAGAGTACCTACACTCCAGAAGCATCTCTGAATGCAAAGGTGAGGACGTCACCTTTTTTGGGCAACTGTTTTTAAATGTCTGGTGGCCATCTTTTTGCTCCTTAGTGCAGGAGTGCTGGAATGAGGTTAGCTGGTGAAGTGAGGAGCAGTTCTGACTGCCCTGTGATGCACTTACATGATGGTTCTGGTTAAAAATGAGTAGCTGAGTTGGGATAAGTTAGCTGTGCAGTGATATGGAAAATAATTAACGGGATAATAACTTGCAAGTGTACTGTCAGTAACTTACCACATCCTGCACTTAATTAGTATGTTTTATTTATCTCTTTGTAGCCATGAAGACTTTCAGAATATACTTAAAARTAGTAGAAGCAAACAGGCTTTGTGAAGCATGTTGTGGTTTCAGCATTATTTTTGGAGGTTAGGAATCATATTTGCTTTTGGATACTGCTTAAACTTTCTGAATTCCTCTGCCTTATAGCTCAGTGCAAGCAGGGAACCTATTCGGTAAATGGTCTTGAAACCTGTGAATCGTGTCCACTTGGCACATATCAGCCAGCATTTGGATCCAGGAACTGCATTTCTTGCCCAGAAAAATTGTCAACAGCAAAAAGAGGCGCTGTGGATATCTCAGCCTGTGGAGGTTTGTAACAAAAGAGCTATGAAATTTCTAAAAGTGAGGCAGYGTTTAAACAGCAGCTAGTGTTGTCCAATCCATCTGTCTGAGATTTAACTCAACCTGTGGCTCAACGTGTAGACAAGCAGAATTTCCCAAAATAATGGCAGTGTGTCCTGTTAACCTGAATTTTTGAAACAATTTCCTTCAGATTTCCAAGATGAGTTCTTAACCAAAGACAGATAGAATGAGCTACTGATGAGTACCTGTGTGCAAATCACGGAATCACAGTGCAAAGCACACAGTATGTTTCATCATCATTATCTTGGGATTTCTGATGTGCAGTGATTCTGGTTTTTGGTTGAGTTTGTACTAATGACTTTTTCAAGAACCTGTCTTCAAACATTCTTGGGAACATTCTGACAAAGATTCTCAGAGCAAGCAATCTGCATGGGAAATGGTGCAAAAACAATTTGTCTATGGTTCTTACACCTCCTTGTGGAGTGGAGACAGGGAAAGCAAGGGATGTGAGATGAAGGAAAATTGCRGTTGAAAGTTTTCTCCACAGTAGTGATGGGAATAAATAAAAATACTTACTTAACAGGTGTTTTTGTGATTCATTGAGATCCATGTGTCACCTAACAGCACAGTTTACATAGAATTTCTCACAGTTGTGAATTTCTTGTGGGTTTCACCYAAATACTGTAGGTCTGAGGAGAGACAATGATGGGAGGAGAGAAAATGACCAGAAAGGGAGCAAATGATCACTGAAAAAAAACTTTCTTATTTGTTCTTGCAGTACCGTGTCCTGCAGGAGAGTTTTCTCGTACGGGTTTGATACCTTGCTACCCATGTCCCAGAGATTACTATCAGCCAGACCCAGGAAAGTCCTACTGCTTGTCTTGTCCCTTTTACGGGACAACAACAATCATCGGTGCCAGATCCATCACAGACTGTTCAAGTAAGCCAAAATATATCCCAGAAGCATGTGAATAAATTTTGGCCATGTAAAAGTTTGGAAAACAGCTGTCTGAAGAGAAAACATTCCATGCCGTCTCAGAACATACGCAGAACATATGTTTGCACTAGCGCAGTTCGCACCCATTTCTGCCTTATAATGTTGTCTCTGGGTTATGTGTAAGAAGTGACTGTGTGTTATGTACTGAGGTTCAGTTACAGAGCATATATGTAACTGTATAAAAATATATRTGTATTTTTTATGTAAATACCCATGCATGCATTTTAGAAACATGCTTGTTTATAGTATATGACATCCATAAAGTATTTTGTGGTTACTGTAAATTGTTGTGTCTATTCCCAGAAATCTACTTCTATCAACATTTAGATGTATTATTAAAATGCAATTAAGATGCCCTCATGGAATAGGGCTCTGGCTGTGCAGTGTTACTAACAGTGCTTTCATTATCTTTCCTTTCTAGGTTTTGGCTCTACATTCTCAGCAGCTGAGGAAAGTGTTATGATGGTACCTGCCTCTCCAGAGAATATTAGCAAGCAGTACAAAGTCAGCAGTCAGGCAAGGACCAGATTTTTATTCTAATCTGACTCTAATGAATAAAACAGTGTTTTATGCCAGCAATAAATGAGAAATGCCTTCTTTAATGTAATTGTTATGTTGACTAAATCTCCTGAAGAGGTGAGAGTGATGATCATGAGAGCTACTGGACTTAGAGCTAAGGTCCTGCTCATCAGCAGGTCTGTCTTACTCATCAGAATTAATAAAATTAATCAAAATAATTAATAAAAATTAGTCTTTGCTAGGCATGACATGAATAGATTCACAGCTACCTCAGCTTTCAAATTTTCTTTGTGATTATAGAAACACTTCTGTTGAATTAAGAAAAAAGTTGCATCAGTTATTGGCAATCTTAAATTTTGGAGCTTGAAGCCCTCAACTTGATTTGTCGCACCTTTTCAAGAAACCTGAACCTCTTACAAGAGGTCTAGTCAGTCTCTAAAAAGTGTGTTGTTCATAGTCATTTGATGGCTTCCGTATGCTGGATTCCTGAAGATGTTACCAGATATCTGAGTCCCAGCTGTAAAATCTTTATTCCTACTCATTACAGTATAGATATACTTAAGTATACAGTATAGATATACTTAAGAAGAAAAGACCACAACTCCCTTCTGCTGTGAAGATCCTTCTTGTAATAGATAAAAGTCCCCATGTAATAGGAGCTGTGCAGTGATGTTGGCCACCAACCCTAGCAGTAGCTGTGACAAGGCTACRTTCCTTGAATCTCAAGCTGATTAGCTTGACATTTGTGAAGATTCCCTCTGGTGAGACAATTTATCTGAAAATAAATAACATTATACAGTGAAGTCCCCCACCAATTCACCTCTCTTTTGTAAAAAAGACTGAAGAAAGTGATTATTGATCAGTGTAAAAGGAAGAAGAGAGAAAAATATTGCTGGAGAACTGTAACGTGAGATATAGCATAGTATCACTCTGCTATCAGTCATAGCTGGGAGGCTTCTAGAGGACCRTCTGCAGTGACCACAGTTTGCTAAATAAAAAAGTCCATTTTAAGAAAAATACTCAGACTCCTGGTAGTCTTCCCTAGAAATAGGAAGCGTTGTCACTCGGATGAGACAAAGGTGAACAGCTAGAAATTAATTTCACAGCTTTTTTCTTTTTCTTTTTTTTCTCTTTAATTAACTATAGAGTTTTCAGAATGTTTTTTTTCAAATGTATTTCCACATTTATTGTAATTACATCATTATTGCCTGCTGCAGGTCTTTCATGAATGTTTCCTGGAACCATGCCACAACAACGGGACATGCAAACAATTGGGAAGTGGATATATTTGCCTGTGTCCATTTGGMTATACAGGTAAAAATGTCAGAAATATGTGGAAGAATAAACATGGCTCCACACCCTTACTATGAGTAAACACAAAGGAATAAAACATTTCAATGCAAAATTGCAAATTGAATTGCACATTAGAATAGTTTTCAGTGTTGCTGAATTATATAGCGTTTGGCATAAAGTGTTTGGGTTTCTTGCAGTGGAGTTAATGAAAAGGCTGTCAGACTGCAGCAGCTGCAGCAGGACTGGAAAAAAAACTTTTTTTTTATTTGAAAAATATTAAGAATATTAAGTGCTATCATTTGGAATTTATCAGATCATTGCCTGATCTAGATTTTACCTAATAACATTCTCTTACAAATCTCAATTGAAACATAGTTCAAAGACAAGATAATGAATGCAAATGTCTAGTAATCCAGACAATTAATCCTTATAAAGTTTTCCCACAKTATCCATGACCTGTGTTTCTGAACAATTTAATTTTTGCTTCTTTGTTCTCCATTCTTTGATTTGCATTTTAGGCTTGAAGTGTGAAACTGAAATTGATGAGTGTAAGTCATCTCCTTGTCAGCACAACGGAATATGTAAAGATGACATTGGGGCCTTTGTTTGCCATTGCCAGCCTGGATATTCAGGTAATTTAATTGCAGGATAGCTCTTCTTCAGAGAGACTTGTTTCTGTACTAAGCAAGAAAAATCCACAACACAGGGGCTGTTCTTACTTCATTGACATTAATAGAGTTACAACAGAAAGGCAGTTCCATCCACAGGCTAAAGAGTTACAGTGTATGTGAAAAGTAAAATAAAGTAAAAAGAAGACCATTCGAGAAGCATAGTCCATGTGAGTGCCTATGTGTGCGTGCCTGAGTTTCGTGACAATTCTGATCTGAAAAAGAAAGAGAATGCCAAAAATTCAGAGGGAAAAATTGTTATGAAACTGAGTGTGACCCATTTAGATGAAACATTAACACAGGCCTAGGACTGTTGTAAGGGAGTGTCTTTTTCATATCTTTGTTGTCAGTCTTTCTAATTCTCATTCTCCTCTAAATCTCTTAAATTCCGAGTATTTGAAGTCTTTGAAGCTTGATCTAGCATGCTTGAGTACTTTGCCAAAACATCATCATAACATCTGAGTATTGAAGTAAACTTTTTGAGGAGATCATCTTCTGAGCAATTTTTAAAAAGATAGGCTCAATGTTTTCCGCCAAAAATAGTCTCCCTCATTTTTCACATTTATGGCTTTATATTTATGACAGCAACACTTTCTGAATATTTTTAGCGCTTGACACTRACTTTGGCATCTTTCACATCTCAACAGCTAAATATCACAGATGATCTCTGCAAGTATTTGCAGTAATGCAGTCAAAAGATGGAATTTCATTGTCTAATCCCAGTAGCTTTTTATTGTATGACAACTATGGAGCTGCTCTGACTCGTATTGACTGTGTGTTGATATATCTTGCCATGTTTCCCTTGCTGTTTGAAGGTCTCTTGTGTGAAGAAGACGTAAATGAGTGTAGCTCTAGCCCATGTTTGAATGGAGCCCRTTGTGTTGATGGCAAGAACAGCTACCAATGCAGTTGTGCAGATGGGTTCACAGGTACAATATTTATTTCTTGTTTCTTGTTTTTCATTCTTTGTGCACAGAGAAATGCCTGCCTAGGTTACCAAATTATTTCAATGTTGTTTCTATATGCAGGGCTGATTTGGATGAGTTAGCCTTCCATAGGTCCACTTAGCTTTCCACAGGACCTGTAGTGCCAAAGTGTGACCTCTGAAGGATCTATTAGATGCTGTTTTCTCTTCGCAGCTGTACCAGGATCTTACTCTGTACCATAGCTGTGGACAAAGCTGTCTATGTGAATTCCCCTATGCCTATTCCCCATCCAAATATTAGCTTTCTGCTTTTCTCACATAAAATAGCTCTCTCCAAATTTCTGTAGCAACCACGAATATCTGTTGATTTGTCAAGTTGCCAAAGAGCTCCACTATAAAATCACATACAGTTTGTTCATTCTTCTGTGCTTGCAACATGGAGCCTCCTTCCCAGCACAAATACCAGTCATGTGTGTTTTTGGCTTTCACATTAAAATCACTGTAGAGCTAGGCTTCCAGCTTGATTTCTTTTGTGGCAGCTTCTCATTAGTTGCTCATTTCTCAGGTGCTTTATTGAATTAGCCTAAGTGACTCATATATTCGGCAATATCCATTTAGATGCCCAACATCACAGSGTGTTCATTTCTACAACTGCATAAATGATTCCTGTAACTACTCTTGGAGTTTGCCATTTCCCATAAAACCATTTATTGGCAAGGGTCCTCAGAAGCCAGGAATAGATTTGTGAACATTTTTCTCAGATTAAAGCAAAACAGATCCATGACTTTGTTATTTTCTCCTCAGGTTCTCATTGTGAAGTGGAGGTCAATGAATGCCTTTCAAACCCGTGTCTCAATAGGGCTGTTTGTGAGGATCACGTTGGTGGCTTCTCCTGCAAGTGCCTTCCTGGTTTTACTGGTATCTTTTGTGAAAGAAACATCGATGAGTGTCTCAGCAGACCCTGTAGAAATGGGGCTACATGCAGAGATGGTATCAACAGCTTCAGGTGAAAAATAGATGATTGATAAAATGCAATGTGAAAAGCCAGATGTGTTGTGGTGCTTGGGTCTTCTTAGATTTCAGCAAAGGGATCAACAACCCCATCCAATTAATGGACCCAATTAAGGCATTAATGGAGGACATTTTAAAAGAAAAGAAAAATCTCTTAGAAAATTCTGAGATGGATAGTGAGGAGAATGTGGAGGGTTAGGTGTGTGAACATGGTAGGACTTCAAGACACACATACTGTGGGAGATCTGTTCTGCCRAAAGAATTCCCCTTTCCCAGCTACTAGTATTTGCCTTAACTTTCCACTAGATTTTTCACTGATCACAGACTGTGTACCTGATGGTTTTCCCTCACTGGTGACTGCAAGACAGGGGTAGCTGTACATATTGAAAGTGCAGGGACTGAGCTATAAACACTGCTGGAAACTTGTGAAGATTTTATTTTTTTCAGGGACTTTGACTCAGATCAGAAGTTACAAGTACTGACAATTGTGTCCTATGCTGGATCACTGTAGAGAGATGAACCAGATATTATACTCTAGATTTCTTAACTCTGTCCTGCCCCAAGGCTCCAGAGAACTTGATGCTTTTCTGATACRTTGGTTTTCCCACATTACCACTGGATCTGTGCTTGCCAAGTAGCATAGCTCTGATCCATAATTCTGTGGACTCCAGGAGTCCCACTTCACTGGTAGGAAACCAGTGGTTGTCTCTCCCATTTTCATATGAAGTAATGCAGATGCTACACTTAGATATTTTATTGTTGTTCTCAGGAAGTAAAATAGTGCAGCTTAGTCATGCTTAAAGAAGCACCCAAAATAAAACTCTGTAGTATCTGTTMTACAGATTTTTCAGCATATGCCATTTCCACTGCTGAAATGGGCCTCATGGCAAGGATATTTGTTGCATCATACATTGCGTATTTGAAGTATGTTTCTCTTCTCCTTAGGTGTCTGTGTGTGAGAGGATACACAGGACAGAGCTGTGAGGTGAACATCAATGAGTGTGACTCCAGTCCGTGCTTAAACCAAGCTACTTGTGTGGATGCCTTGAACTCGTACGTTTGTAAATGTCCCCCTGGCTTTACAGGCARCAGGTGTGAAACAGGTACACAGGACCAAAGTGTCAGAAAAAAGGCAGCTTGACTAAGTGTCTGGTCAAGATTTGCACTGGCTGAATTGGTTTTATTCTGCTCCTCCCAAAAGCATCTAGGTGTGGTGAGAATCTGAGTGGAGTCTGTGTGACTGCAGTGGAATTGGAATTGGAATTGGAATTGGAATTGGAATTGGAATTGGAATTGCATGCGTGTAACAGCATGTGTGCCAGATCATGTTTTTATTCTTTCTCTTTTCTACACTAACTTTTTAATACCAAAAAAGCTTATCAGAGTTCAATTGTATTTGCTCTGCATAACTCAGTTAATTAGCAATTTGTATTTCTTTTACTTTGATTAGAACTTGGTATTAAATGGTTAAAGATGAGTGYTAGGTAGTATCAGTTCAGAAGTAATAATAGAAATCACATTGCAGGGCATAACAAGCTTTATATTCACCTGAAGCAGCTCGGTGGATGGCTGTAGAGTTACACTGCACATCCAYGAGTCTCAACTCCATTTGTCTTTCGGCCAACATATAGAAATTTACAGTCTTGTACATGTACCTGATGGAACTTCAGGTGGAACATGAAGAACCTAGGCAGGTTTCTACAGAGACAGTGAAGGGCAYATGGGTAATGTAGATCAGATCTTATGTGCAAGTTTAAATAGCACCTAGCTTTCAGGAGAGCTCCAGGTGATTTATTTGCACATAGCGATCTTTGAACTTTACCGTGAAGCATGTTACTCTGCATTAAATGTGAGCACCACAGGACCACAGGAGTGCTGTTCTGTATCAGTGTAGTGTATTTCAGTCACTCCAGAACAGAAAAAATCTCTTTCCTCTTTTCTTTCTTTTTCTTTTTTTTTTTTTTTTTTTTAAATCCTAGTTTTTATGGATGAAATGAAAACAAATGATCATGCCCTTTTGGGCTGATGGATGAACAGATGAGTTAATCGTTGATGGACAGAAGATGAAAAGTGTATCCAGTGGTATACAAGGAGTTCATCATCAATCTCTGTTAGAGTATCAGCYCCTTTTTCAGTTGCACTTTTTCGGATGACGTGTGTTCTCTAGCCTTCGAAAGCATCATATGTTGACTGGAGCCAGGCTGGTATACAGTCTTTCCAGCTCTGACCAATTTAAAGTGAATATTTTTGTAGATGGATGGGTTATATTCCATTTTACTGCATTGGTTTAGTTTGCATTTGATTTTTTTCTGTGGTTTTAAGAATATAGCTCTAAAAATTCTTCTTTTTTGCAGAACAGTCCTCTGGTTTCAATCTTGATTTTGAAGTCTCTGGTGTCTATGGGTATGCTATRCTTGATGGTATTTTCCCATCTCTTGGTGACATCACCTGTGCTTTCTGGATGAAATCCACTGACACTACAAACTATGGGACTCCCATTTCTTATGCAGTGGAAAATGGAAGTGATAATGCGTTTCTGCTGACAGATTACAATGGGTAAATCACAAATCTGTTTTTCTCTAGCTAAACCTGTCTTTATTTGATAAAGGTAATACAAGCCAAAAGTCTGACTGTCAGCTGTGCGTATTTTGGAGTAGGCAAATCTGCATCTAAATTTTGTAGCTGAAGTTGTCCCCTTGTGTGGTTTTCTCTATCATTTTTTTCCTCCACTTTTTGCCAATACAACATGAAATCTATGTGACATTTAGAAAACAGAATATTTCCAGAACAGAAAATTATATTTATAGTGTGTTTAAAATGTGCAGTGAATCAATGACAGAGTAAAACGAACTCAGCACTCAGAGTCCTTGGATCAAGGGACAAGTTTAAAAATCCTSTATGCAGCCATGCACTGAGACTTCATCTTTTGGTACAGGACACATTACTTATTTCAAAGCACTTTGAAGGTGGTAATAGTCACTTCCAAGTTCTCTCAAAGAGTAATGACATTTCAGGGGAGATTCTGTTTATGAACTGGACAAAAATACCCCATTTAGCAAACAATATTACTTGGAGTGATGCTCTTCAGATTGCTGCAGACAATTGATAGGCCTTCATCTTCCTTCTCCATGCAGCTGGGTTCTTTATGTAAACGGAAAAGAGAGGATCACAGACTGTCCCTCGGTGAATGATGGTAACTGGCACCACATTGCAGTCACGTGGACATGCACAGATGGAGCATGGAGAGTGTACATTGATGGAAAGGTGTCTGACGGAGGCAGTGGGCTCTCAGTTGGCTCAAAAATCCCTGGTATGTTTTATTTACACTACACTGGATGTTCTTCCTCTTTCCTTTTTTTTTTTTTTTTTTTTTTTTTTTTTAAATCAGAGATTTTGCTATGCCTTCAAAGTTAGGCTTATTTTGGTGTTTCTGGCATGTTTTCAGGTTCTCAGCATTTATAGATGATCATCTTTGTTCGTCTTATTTATGAGGATAGCTCCCTTACTTGGTCTCAGTTAAGGCAAAATAACTATTTCTAAGCTAAAGTAATAGGCCACTTRGTTGGTGGAGGTGACAGAGTTTGGAGTGGTTTGGGAGAGGAACTAATGTTTATGCCTATTTGGCATAGTGAGATCACTTCCCATTTTTTATGTTCATTCACTTCAGTCTAGAGCAAGGCCTCCCAGAGATTTGCTGGGAGATTTTATTGAAGGTGGCTGATCTCCTGCCATATTAAACCTCAATAACATAAGCGTAAGAAAATATTCTTGAAAGCCCTTCTGTGGGGTTGATTGCTATGGAGTTTTGTTTCCCATCCCTGTTCTAATTTTGTCTGAGTTTAGGTGGAGGTGCTCTYGTACTGGGACAAGAACAAGACCAAAAAGGAGAAGGATTCAACCCAGCTGAATCTTTTGTGGGCTCCATCAGTCAACTCAACATTTGGGACCACGTCCTGTCTCCACAGCAGGTAGATCCTTCTTGCAGAGTTTGAGCACAATGCTTTGAGCATASGACGAGTTGAAAATGCATTCCAAATTAGTTTATATACCTATAGACTATATMAGGTTAAGCTTATAGACGTTTCTCTGTTCCCACAGAAGTCAGGGGGGACAAGATGAAGCCTTCGCTTAGAGTATTAAGCTTAGCATAGTAAGTGTAGTATCTTTAAGCAATCCTAGATATGGTAAAACCAACATTAAAATCAATATATTTTTGAGTGAATCTTTCYATATCAAATGGCTTTGAAAGAAAAATGAAGACACATCAAAGATAACAATCCTATTAGAAGAGAAAGAGAACCATATATAAGAGCTGGAGGCTGCTGTGTGAAGGCATTGGTAAAACATCAGAGGTAAGGCATYGGAAGTTCAGCCAGTGCATGAGATAGAATGTAAAATTGTTAAACTGTATCATCCAGAGAAAAGTCTGCATAATAAGCACTACTGAAGATTAGAGTGCTTTTTCAGGAATCACAAGCACAAGTTTGATGCTAAACTTTCACAGAATTGCAATATTGTTGTAGATGGAAGAAGACCAAGGGACATCTCTAATCCGATCTTCAGCTTTATCAAGATAAAAAATGAAATCAGATAGTGGACTCAGGGTTTTTTCCAGTTAGATCTTGAAAATCTGCAAGGACGGAGATCCCACCACAATTGCAGCTGCTAATTGTCCTCAGAGTGGAAGTGAGGGAAGAGGTTCAAATAGGACCTCACACTCCAATTTATGACTACTTCCTCATTCTGCTACCACACAYCACTGTTAAGAGCCTGATTGCATTTCTTTGATGACCTACTTGCATGAGGAGACTGCTCTTAAGTGTCCCTGATCTTCTGCAGCTGAACAAGCCTCAATGTCTCTTCACTGTGAAAATTTCCCAGCCTTGACTTTCTTATTCGCCCCCTCTGAGCTTGCTTCAGTTTATTGGTGTCTTGAGGAGCCCACAGTGGAATGCAATAGACCAGATGTCTTCTAATGCCAAGGACAKGAGATAAGCAGTCCTTTTTTATTCTAGTTGTAATCCTGCTCACACAGCCTAGAATGTTGTTGGCCGCTGGTGCTGCAAGGGTGCACTGCAGGTCCGTGATCACTTGCTACTGACCAAAGGCCCCAGGGTCTTTTTCGTAGCCCTTAGACCAATTGCCCCAGCCTATCCAAGTGTCAGGGGCTTGCTTTCCAATTTGTCTCTGTTGAATTTCCTGGGATTTTTGTTGACCCAGTGTGTTAAGATCCCATTGGATGGCAGCTGTGTCCTTGAGGGCCGACTGGTAACTCATGTGTAAACTTGATGACAATGTGCTCCACTGTCTTCTTTTCATCATAGAAAAGGATATTAAACTGTATTTCCATCCAAAAGTCAGAAATGTTGGATTTGTTAGATGTAAACAAGATTACAAGGAGTAATGTTCAAAGTCAGAGWTATTTCTTGGAAGGAGGGGCGTTGTGATTGAAAGTTTTTGCTCTTTTGATGTGTTTTAAGGTCTTACTACTGTTTGCTTGTTTATGACTATTTGTTATCCGTGATCAAAGTTAAAATATGTATAAATAAGAAATTGAAAAAAAGCTAAGCCAGAATCTTTGCTTCTAGCATCAGAATGTCTCCTCTGTTTCTCTCTTCCTTTCTTTGCATCTTCAGCTTTCTGATATGTTAGGAAGTTCCATTTTTTATATCTAGGGCCAGCAAGCATTCACAAATCAAAACTTCAAATTTTCATGCGTAAGAGCAATGCTGGGAAAAATTTGTGCACATAAGTGTACAGAATACACTAAAGAAGAATAATTTAAGTGGAATTTTTAAGGTTGCTTAGAAATTTTCTCAGTACTGGCCTGTYTGTAATGCTCTTGACAAACCTGATAAAATTCCTGTTGGCTTCAATAGTAGTTGGCTTCAGTTGGCTTCCTCCTTAGGACAAGGAGGAAAATCCTGCCTTTCATCTATGATATCCGTAGTCTTAATCTGAAGACAAATGTGAAAGAGATGGAGAAATGAGCCAAGTAAGCTTCCTATTAATTTTTTGACCTTTTTTTTTTTTTTTTTTTTTTTGAGCTTGGAGTAGTAAATCACTCTCTCTGTTACTATCAGCTATGTTCCAGCCAGCAGCAGTTATGCAGAAGGTCTTATTTCCTGTTCTCAACCATAAAGAAAACTGGTAGAAGAAGCTATATTGCCAGGTGAATAATGTAAAAGCTGAATTCACTCTTTAAAACTTTTCTATTGCTGCCCATTGACTTACACATTAATTTTGTATGGGTAAACGTGCATTTTGGCTGTTTGTTGTAGTGAGCAGTAGAAATAGGAGTTGTCGTGAGGTCCTTTCCTGCCCTCCAATGCCTTCCATACTTCTGTGATTCCCACACTTCCCTGGCCCACAGAAGGGCATTTCCTGCACATATTCTTTGCACCTTTTTGCCTAAACAGTTGACGTCAGCAGAAACAGTTAAGGTAAGCTACAGAAAGAGCTATGGAATAAGCAGGTCAGATCGCTTGTGTCTCCTGGCTCTGCATACTGGTGAGCCCCAAGGGAGCTCAGGCTGAGAATATGAGAATTGTTTGGTGTGAGGTCCAAAGCGTCACACAGAGCGCTAGTACAGCATAGGAGCTGATTTCATCCACTAGTCAGAAGGCAGTTGCTGTTCTGGGAAAGGCAGTTTTTTTCCAGATGCTCAGCACAGGCCTGGCATGCCCGTGCTTTTTGACCAGTTAACTCTGCCTTGAAGCCTTGCTGTAAGATGAGATGTACACAGCCTATTGAGCTGCTCATCTTTGTTATTTTAATTTCTTTTTTCAAGCAACTAAGGAAAACATTCCTTCTCCTTAAGAGGGAATTCCTTCAGTGATCCTCCAGCACAGGATAGTTGYGGAATGGGAAGTAGGCTCAATAGCCTAATTACTAATATGTTCCCTTAGTTGAATAACCGTCTTTTCTCCAAAGACCACTTTGTTCTTTGATGTTTTAATAGAAGAGGAAATCCTTAATTATCCTTTTATTGTGCCTTTTTTCCTCCTCAGGGCATGTATAATATTTTAAGTAGTTCCATGGGTCAGATAATTGCTTCTTTCATGACAGGGCAAAAAGTAACAGAGAGTTCTACRCAAATATTACAAATTACCATTGTTTTTAAGCACTTCCTAGTACTTTACTCCCTTTTTGTTCTTGGAATTACAGTAAGCAAAGGTAGTCAGAGCAATTCCAAAGCCTTCTTTCTTTCAGCAGCATTTTTAAGATGCTTTTCTAAAACAGAAATTTCTTTAGGCATCCAGTGAAACTAGTCAGCTGCATTTCTTTTTTTTCACCAATGTCACAGTCAGAACATCTGAACCTTTTGCAGGGAACCAGTAGGTGGTCACTATGTGACATCCCAGGAATAAGAGTCTTGTCTGCATGTCCTTACTTCTGCCTAGAATTCACAGTCAGTGTCTGAATAGCTTAGTAGTTYGTGTGACTCGTGGATTTATGGTCCCCAAGGTACTGCTATTGATAGAGAAATATGATTTCATTACTATGTTTAATAGCTTTTCAGATTCATGGTGAGGAAATAAAAAGAATTTAATTATATTAAAAAAAATCYGATATTAAAGTAGGATGTGGAAACAAGTCAAAGTTTCCCATTAGCATTTCAGATTTCAGGTTTGTTTTTGTTTTTCCTAGTAAAAATCCAAAAGAAACCTCTGGTAGTTCCATTAGAGGAGTTACATTTTACAAGGAAAAATGTCTTCATCAAAGAAGTTTGATCAGGTCTGTTCTTAAGATATTGACCTCCTGCTGATCTAAAAATGTGTCCTTTTCTTTCTCCTGTCCTCAGTCTGCCTGTTTCCATTTCACATTCAGTACATGGTTAGATATGGTCCTGTCCTGCTTCAGTTGAAGACAATGCCGAAAACGCCAGTAATATTGGTCTTGTTACGTCTTGMCTGCACTGTTTTGAAGAACCACAAWATAGCCGAGTTTATTGAATTCACAAAATGCTTKTTCTGGAAACAGTGGACTACTTCGCGTAGTGCTCCTTTTGTGTTTCTGGTCCTTAATTGTGGTGCTGTGATAGCACTGTTTGAGGAATGCTCTCTTTAACTTTCAGTTCCRCTTGGCTCCCATTCGACATTTTTTCTGCAAATACGAGGCCTTCTTTTCAGGTTATGTCCTCATGTTTGTCTTCTCTGTGATATCATCCTTCTTTACCACTAGCAAGCACCACATTGTTTCRAGGATTATCATAGAATCATAGAATCACAGAATCACAGAATGCYGAAGGTTGGAAGGGACCTCAGAGGTCACCTAGTCCAACCCCCCTGCTCACGCAGGGTCACCCAGAGCACGGGGCACAGGGCTGCGTCCAAGCGGGTTTTAAAGATCTCCAGAG